CAGGGCCTGTACCATGTTATCATGAGCTCGGAGGATCCCTGAGTCCCAGTTCCACCCATCCAGGTGTTTGCAGGGGGCTTTGCTGCTTTGGGGCAGGTGTCTGCGTGTCGATCCTCTCTGCATTCATGTTCAGTTCGTTGGGGGTATTCCCCGGGTGGCCCTAGACCCAGGGAGGCGCAGGATATGGCGTTTTGCTGACCTTGAGGTTGGTTTGCCTTTGGAGGGTCTCTTGGGCTTTGTTCCGCCGTGTGTGTACTCTCTCACCCGTGGTAGTTTTGCAGGGGGTGCCCGCTTCATCCGGTCCATTAAGGTTGCCCAAAAGCGGTTGAAGGCTGCTTCCAGACGCTCTTCAATGTGGCTAAGTGGGTCTATGAGGTCGGCTTGACGCGGCACTGGGTCCCGTTTCAAAGGCGCGGGTGTGTCCGCCATCTTGTGTGCCGCCGCTCGGCGCTCAATTTGTTGTTGCGGCTTCTCCCAACATGTCTGGGGGGCCTTACGTATAGCCCAGCGGGGGCCGGGATAACCCCCACCGGCCCAGAGGGGGGGAAAGCGGGACCTAAGCTGCCCTCGGGGTGTAAGATGGACTGGGGACCGGCCGCATCCCCCGTCCTGTTGGAAGTTACAGGCCGCAGGGAACCCTCATCTCCAAGAATACTCTTTGCCTTCGAGGTTTCACCCCAATAGGTTGCCCCTACATTCCCCTTTCGAGGCATCCCCATGTCAGAGGAAATTAGAGGGTAGATTGTCCTTTTTTTGCTTAGAAAAGTATTTAGGTTGAGGAGCTCCCTCAACCTGCGTCCTGCTCAGTCAGTGGTCAGGCCCCGCCCCCCCAGGTACTACCTTTCTTATTGGCAGATAAAGAGATATTGGGGTCATACTATAATAATAAATAAAAACACTGAAAGTGCTATTTGGGAGATTCATCTGGAATTAGACTTCCAGGGGGAATGTACTAATAAACTGCAACAAACTTGTGTGTATGTAGTGCGGAATCGTGATGCAGCATACTAACAGAGAACTATCCCAATTACCACCCAATAATGACAGACAACGTAGTATGGATGAAACAGGCCACAGCATTTATTATAACATATGATAAATACTGCATAACACATCCATAATTTATTTTAATCTTTAACTTTACTTGATATAAAACAAACGTCAAACATAAATAACCATAACTTATAACTTAACACATAGTGTCATACAGTGTAACCCAACCGTCCTTGCCAATATACTGAGTGTAACGGATCACCTGGCACCCCGACTGGGTACCTCCATTGAAGGATGCTCCTAGTGCTTCCTGAGGACTCCAAGCACTGCAGTGGACACCACAACCACCGAACCAGAGAAGCATATTAATGCTCTCAAGCATTTGAATGCTGTAAGCAGCTGAACAGGAAAAGCATACAATCAGTTTACACTCCTGGCAATCAGCATACAATCCAATTCCCCTAATAACGAGACGACACTTCGGTTTGAGGTCAAGCAGGACTGACTGTACTGGCACATACAGCCTCTTTTATTCACAATCCACAAACATAGTACTGCCCACAGGGTTTTGAATTACAACCAATCAATCCGTACAATACACACAGACACTCCCACACAAAAGTACAGAAAGAAACAATGTGTGTGAACACCCACCACAGTGTAATAAGTGCTTAATTTATATCAACAGAAAGGAACTTTCCTGTATAGGATAAGATTTCCAATAGTATCCCAAAAGACTTCCTCTTGTCTTCCACACAACACAAGCAAAAAAAGGGGATGATCTGCTGAACCAATCATAAATAAAACAACATAGCGTATAACTGTGTATGATGACAAATTGTAGAAGTTATATTCACAAATGGCCACTCACACTTTTGCTGAAGTTTGCAAGCCTTGAATATTTTCCTTTTCAAAATAGGAATTCCAAATCCTCTGTCTGGGTTAAAATCTCCATAGATATATTGGCATGTATGTGCTCAGGAAAGAAATGTATATAAAAGAATATAAGATGCACATTCAGAGTGAAGTACAAAAAAGTATTTAATAACTTACATCAAGATATAAAATCATCAGTGTAGTCCCTCTATGTCACCACCAGGGGTCCTACGCGTTTCATCCAACCAAATAGGACTTCCTCAGGGACTTGTATGGTGTGTGATCAACAGGTACAAATAAACAATGATACAAAAAACATTATCTGAATGTGCATCTTATATTCTTTTATATACATTTCTTTCCTGAGCACATACATGCCAATATATCTATGGAGATTTTAACCCAGACAGAGGATTTGGAATTCCTATTTTGAAAAGGAAAATATTCAAGGCTTGCAAACTTCAGCAAAAGTGTGAGTGGCCATTTGTGAATATAACTTCTACGATTTGTCATCATACACAGTTATACGCTATGTTGTTTTATTTATGATTGGTTCAGCAGATCATCCCCCTTTTTTTGCTTACTCCCACACAAAATCCTCCCCTCTGCCTGTGATATGATTACTGAACACAATGGTTAATCTAATTATCACAGGCAGAGAAATACAGTATCATAAAACACATCACAGGGACCCCAAAACATGCAATAACCCCATAAACCGGGGGATCTGGGTGAACCACATATCCAAAATTCACCCAGATCCGTTCAGTAGTTTGGAAGATGCAGTTTAATGCAGATTCCGCAGAACATATACAGGCTATAGAAAAAATAATTACTATATAATGTGTCCCCTGTTGTATAGTTTAAAACTACTGAACGATGTCTTCGTGCACCAAATACTGTCGAGATGGCACCGTGTAGAAAAGTGTCTGTGAGTTAAAATGGCCGCCATCCATTGTCCTCACCATGTGCTTCATCCATTATTCTCACCATGTGCCTCTGATACAGGAAATGGTGGCCACCCAGTAACTCCACAGCATGTCCCCAGATGGTTCTTACAGGGCCAGCAGCAGCACAACACAAATCCATTATGCCCAAATCATGTCTTTAAAGGGCAATACATCAGAGGGGCCATAGTCACATGGCAGGAGGCTGGCAATCAGTCTTCTCCAATGCCCAGTGGCGAGGTTGGTTTCGCCACAGGGAGGAAGGATGACACCTTAGGCTCCCTGTAACTCACACTGCCGCTGGAGAGAAAGGACTGCAACTTCGGCTCCCTGGAACTCACACTGCCGCTGGGGAGGAAGGACGACACCTTCGGCTCCCTGGGATTCACACTGCCGCTGGGGAGGAAGGACGACACCTTCGGCTCCCTGGGGCGCACACTGCCGCTGGAGATTGGGTGTCCATATCCTCAACCCCCACAGTTTTTGCTCAAAGACCATTGCCGCATGGTTCTTAGCACTCAACTGGCGCTTTACTTGGAAGACCACCTCGTTGAAAGGGTCTGGGCCATACCAGACCAACTGCCTCTTTACCTCCTCAAGGTAAGCGTCGTCCTCGTAGCAACGTATCAGGTTGAGGTGCTCTTCGCAGGGTTCTATCCAGGGTCTTGCTCGCTCCATGCTGTTGTAGATAGGGACGCTGCACGGTAGCTAGCTCTATCCCTCTATTGTAAATCCGTAGTGTTACCGGTGTCTCTGAGCTGCTTATCCTCGCACTAGGACGCCATCCCTCCGCTGCCACCACTGTAACGGATCACCTGGCACCCCGACTGGGTACTTCTATTGAAGGATGCTCCTAGCACTTACAGAGTACTCCAAGCACTCCAGCCGACACAATAACCCCCGTAGACTCCTTCCGAGAGCAAGACAGGAACAAGCTCTTAAAAGAGCTTAGTAGTGATTAGCTAAGGGAGTATGCAGAGCATAGCAATCCCTTGTAGTGATATAGCAATTCCCCCAATAAGAGACAGGAATCTAGATTGAGGGTGAAGAAGAACTCTGGTGTAATGACACACACTCTGCTTTTATGCAATTCTCCCATGTAAGGGAGACGCCCACAGACAATTATACATTAGCCAATCAAACAATGGTTACATCCCACACATCTCCTCCCCTTAGCCTGAGAGGTAACACAATTAGCAGTACAGTTTAAAACATACTTTTTACCCAACTTTCATAACTCTAAAACTATACATCCAATATTAATAAATAAAGTCACATATTATTAATCAGCACATTTCAAATACAAACATACCCAAAAATTATTCAAATCCGTTCAGCCGTTCGGGAGATAGATATAAGTCACTTTTGACAGACCGCAAGCACATTTTCATGCCCAAAACAGTTCCATGGATTTGGGCTGTGTGGTCGGTCTATTTTACACCGAGAAAATGACTAAGTCCCATTCGAACGAGCGTTTAAATCTTCGAACGGGACTTAGTCTCCAGCCACAGTGTCGAAGTAGAGTAGAAGGTACGGGTCAGCGGTGTTCGTGCAATTGGGTAGCTGAAAACAGTTCCATAGATTTGGCTGCACACACCGCTGACCGCGTTCGAATGAGTTAAAATAGCGGCCACTTCAGCACTTCGACTGCATCCGAAGTGCCAGTTTAAAAGTATAAATCCTTTCTTTGGGAATTAAAGGGCCAGAAACAGCAATATAAGAATCAAGTATGCCCACATCAGTTCCTAGAAGGGCAAAACATCCCAGGGCCATAGTCGCAGGGCAGGAGGCTGGCAAACAGGCCCCTCTAAAAACCAGTGGCGAGGTTACTTTCGCCACAGACCTGGCACCCAGACCACTTCATTAAGCTGAAGTGGTCTGGGTGCCTATAGTGGTCCTTTAAGCATCTAATATCCCCCTAAGATCATGGGGCAGAGTCTTATGGAGAGGCCAGAGGTAAGTATTTTCTTATATATATCTTCCTTTTACTTGTGTTTTTGTTAAAGAGAAACTGTTTCTGCCTGCTTCTTGGCTCCCTTTGAGCCAGAATGAAAGTTTTTGCCTACTGCAGGGATCTGTCTGCTCTCGGGTAATCAGAGCAGATGCGTCAGCATCGGCGTCAGAAAATGCAGATAGCGCATGCGCGAGCAGATCACAATCTTAGACATTGCGCCAAAATTGTAAAAAATTTGAAATTTAATAGAAAAGTTCCCAGAGTGATATACAGCTGAAAAATCGTCAATCCATAATAGAAAGCTGCCTAAAAGTGAGATTTGTTCTGAGAAGGTAATTAATCTTCTCACCAATATTTATTTTCTTCTTCTCTTCAATACATTTTCTAAAATGTATTTTCTTATAAATCTATATTCCTTTGTTATACTCCTTTCTGGTCAAAACACTAAAACAGTCCTACCTCCCAATCGTCATGTATCTGGCGGAAGTGGTGCTGAAGGGAAATTCATAGGGTGCAGCTATGAGAAAACATACTCTGTGCTAATCTCTCTCTAATTTATGCTTTCATCTTTCAAGTAAATCCATATCCCCAAACAGCAGTGTCCAGTGAAGCAGGACGGGGTAAAAGGGTGAGCCACTGGTGCAAATCAAGTAATCTGA